TAGTTGTTGACCGGCGCATTGTGGGATCAGTCTAAAGAACGGTTACTTCGAGGCTAGAGCTAGTACGACGTCAACACACCAATTTGTTGTTGACTGTGACGCGAAGCGTGTCTCCTTTGGTTGCACGAATGAGAGGACCCGGGAAACTGTGTCCGCGTATAAGGTGCAGTACACAGCAGGATAGGGTGCCCTTACGTTCCGTTCGCTGATACGATGCCTAAATATGCCTGGTTAGTGGCGAGAGATGCGGAGATTGTTCGCGTACTCCTGGTGAAACCATCGGGCGCGAGGTCGACGTTTATGATGTCGAGAGTAACATCGTTAAAATGGCCCTGCGCCGAAACGAGGAGCGCCAAAAACGTTGAGAATGCGGCGGCAAGGAGCTTCATGAGGGGCCGGACTTGTGTTGCAGGTACAATGTTGCATTACCATTTAAACCTAGGAGCAGAAGGGTCTCAGTACGGCATGGGGCCAGTCCATTGTAGCGCGCGAAAAACATGCAAACCCGAAACGACGGGCGGCGGAACTGAGCGCAACGACAGTCCAATGGTAACTGTAGGTTTTGATTATACGGAGCCAACGGACTACGTCGATTGACGAAGTAGCGTACCTTTCGTGGGTGGGCGGCATTTTTCGGATCTCTACCACTCTCCTGTGACTTGAGACAAATGCGCGAAGGAGGAGGAGGAAGAGAGCGTATCGCTGCCGTGGTCACACGGAGAAACTTAAAACCAATGATACTGCCAGTATTTTGTCGCACGCGAAATGCTAGAACGTTGGTGGGCTGCGGGAAATCAGGGCAAGATGAGGCTTATTTTCGAACTCCCACGCCAAGAATCACCTATGGATGAATCCAACTTACGAGAAGCGGGTTGCTTGAGCTTGAGGCATATAGGTACATGGGGATCAGGTCGAAGTCCGCGGTAAACATCTGTTACATCCTTTCAATCAGGTTGATGTGAATAGCAAACTCTCCCACCATACATATCAGCAGCTTTGTTGCCTGCAACTTGAAGTCCACGTTACACAGGCGTTTTTACAGGGAATCGTTTGAGTCAAACATTCCAAGGTTACTCGCTCGAATGCAAAAGCGTATGGTGGCTGGAATTTCCCTTTCGAGAAATCGGCGCACGGTGGCTACCTTGGAGTAAGACCGATATATCGCGGGAAAATACTACAAATACGGCGACGCACCTGACAACGGGGGCATGAGCCCGACGACACACAAAACAAGTAAGATGCAGAAACTGATCCTACGTCTGCATGTCATGTCTCCGTGATGTAAAAAGCCAGGTCCGCGGCCTTTTCTACCCTTGGGAACTTTGTAAAAAAGGCAAGATTCTGTTTTCCTGGAGCCTCGCTTGTTGTAACCTCCCTGGTCGAGGTCGAGGTTCTTCACGAAAGATAAACGGATTGACCGTATGTCGCCCTCAGCATTGTCAGTGATCCGACATGTCACTTCGAGATTCAAGTTCAAAACGCACTCTGTTCTCACCTTCAGCTCCTTTGGCGCAGGTGCACATGTACCTAGAACATGGTACAGGGCCAAGACCGAATAAATGATTCGGAATCCAGACCGTCAGGCATGATAGTATGGTTGGAAGTTTTCGAGCGATTGCAGAATACGTCCAGGAGTTTCCGCCAGAGCTGAGTAAAGGGATACATGAAGTAACCAAGTTTGAAATGCTCTTCGTTCATTTCCCGAGGGTCGACGCGGCGGCTCCGAATCGGTCATACACTGCAGCATTGCTTCTATGCCCCACACTCGGATCCGGAGGTCCTGAGCCTGCAGGACTGTGAGCAGATATATTATGAATGTCCAGAAGGCAGTGATACATACATGTAGGTGATTACTTAACACAAAGACGGAACGTACCAGATATCGGTCTCTGCCTCCCTTTTCGCGTCAGCCGCGAGCCCAGTTTCCTCGCCCGACGACCCGCCCTCCAGCCCAGCACCGCCGTGCCGGCCCAGCTCTCCATCCGTCATCGTCAGCGCCACGCAGAACGCATCCCACTTCGGCATCTCCGGCAACCGCTCTTTGATCATCTCCAGCCGCTGCGTCCCCCGGAAGTCCGGATGGAACGGGGACCTGCGCTGCTGGATCCAATCGAGGTCGAGGTACTTGCTCGACACGAACACCTTGAGAAAGCCCGAGCTCGCATGCTGCCCCTGGGGTAGGCTGAACCGGTACGCGGCCTCAGAGCCCATGCCAACGGTTATGGTCCCCCCGCCGTGCTTCAGAGGCGGATACACGCGGGCACCAGCGGGGGCGTGCCAGCGCTGCACTATAAATCAGCATTGGTTCCGGGGAAGGAAAGAACACGACATACAGTGATGGTATACATATCCGGATCAAAGTAGAAGAGGTACGCAAACAGGTCCTCCGGCCCCTCGTTGCGGATCGTGAACCCGTACCACACCTGCGCATCCGGCTCCGACAACAAGCGCACCTCGTGGTTCACGACCAGATTGCCGTCGTCCCCGTAGCGCCTGTCCGGGCGGCGGCCGGGCACCTCGCCCTCCAGGCGGTGCACCGCGAGCGTTACACCGGGCAGCGGGTCCGCGCCGTGCCGCCGCTCGAGGAAGTAATTGAAGTGCGCGATGCCGTCCACGACGTTGGGCAGGTGCACGCACTTGGCCTGGTCCGCGAGCGCGAAGCGCACCGTGGGCGAGTACTCGAGAAACGTGCTCGTGAGGCGTTCGACGAGAACCTCCCCAGGCTTGTCGGCAGCCCGCAGCGCGATCTGTGCCTCCTCGCGTGAGGGCGCCTGCACATACTTGCGCCGGCGCGTGCCATCGGTGGACCCCGTAGGGAAAAGGTCCGCAAGATGTGGGAAATCCCGGGGCGCGTAGACGTGCAGTACGATCGCATGGTTATTCCAGTCGGACACGGCGGCGCGGGATCCCGGTGGGATGACGGGGGCGTGGAAGGGGTCGCTCGCGCTGAGGATGCTGTGGCTCATGTGCACAGAGCGGGCGGTGAGCGAGCCGAGGAGGGTATTGTCTGCCGCACGCGCCTCGAACTCGGTGCCTGGGACGACACCCTCGACGGTGCCCATGTCGATACTATACGAATCTACTAGAAGAGGGGCTTCGTCCGGGTCCTTGGGCTCGCCTCGCCCCGCGACAGTCTTGGGCTGCACCCCAGGCGCTTTGATGATCGTCAGAGGGAGCGCCGAGCGCCCCGTCGCGGGATAGTTCCAGTCAAAGACCAAGCGGTCCTTCCTCGCCCCACCGCAGTGCGGCGTCTGCCCCGACCACTCCGGGAACATGTTAAGCAGCTCCGCGTACGTGGTCGTCCCGAGCGGCGCGCGGCGCAGGTGGAAGATGAGCCTCTCGGTGAAGCGCCCGTGGACAGACTTGTCGGTGTATCTGATCTCGCGCGCAGTCTCCTCCTGGCGGCACGCCGCAAGCAGCACATGCGAGTCCGCGCCGGGCTCCCACATGCTGTAGGCCGCCGCCGTGGACGTCTTGTCGCTCCACAAGTGGCTGTCAAGCTCGAGGGGGACAAAGGGCGAGAGCGACCGCGCGTTGCGGGCTTGCCCGACGTCACGCCCCATGCCGCCGGAGTGGCACGAGTCCAAGATCACCGTCTGAGGAAAACTGTGAGTGGGAGCGCGGGTTTCTCATCGAAGCACGCACGATATTCGGGCCCTTCTTCTGCGCAAGGTCCCGCAGGAGCCACGCCAGAACGTAGTCTGGGATAGTGTGCACGTAGTTGCCCGCCGCATCCGTCGTGCGCTCATCCACAGGGCAGATCGCCTCGACCTTGCCGTCCGTAGTACCCCAATTACCCGGCGCCTCGATGCGCGAGCCATGCCCCGCATAGAACAGGATCATTGTCGCATCCCCGTGGTCTGGGATGGCTTTGTTGTCCAGAAGGTGCGCCTTAAACGCTGCGAGGATGTTGGCGCGCGTGGCTTTGCGGTCTTCGATTGTCAGGACATTAGAGCGGGGGACGCCGAGTCCGCGCTTATCATGGGGGTCCAGAAGGAACTTCTCGAATGTGCGCGCATCGTTCACGGCGCCCTGCAGTGTACCAAAGTCGTCCCTCGAGTGGTACTAACAAGCCGTAGTCATAATCATGCAACGCTTGATTTGCACGAAGGGCTCACATTATTGATACCGATGATGAGGGCGAAAACGTTGACCTTCGACAAAGGTACGGCCATAGCGTGCCTGGTAGGGATAGTCAGTAGGGATTCGAGATAGATTGCGTACGGATACGCACAGGCTTTATGAAGCAAGAACTGTACATGCATCATCACAATTAGGTCCCGTTTGAAAGCTGCTTGCTGCCACCATGGCTGTGAAGTTTAGCGCCCAGATTTAGCGCTCGAGCCAGGTCAAGCAGGCTGTGTGCAAGGGGCATGTCCAGGGTCAAGATATCGGGACCACAGCTCCACGAGACCGAGAGATTGCAGGATAGTGCATGAATTGAGATTGAGGTTCCGCGGAATGTGAATGGCGTTAACCCTAACCTTAGCAACACGTGGCATTATCGCATCGCCTCTTGATCTGGCACTTGAAGTTGAAGTTGAATTCCCTTGAGCCAGAAGTTTCAACCTGTGCCTTTTATGCGGAGAGTTTAGGCACAGCAGATTCCAGAACATTCTAAGAGTATCAATGAAGCAAGGCAGCGAGCGTCTGGTGTGCAGCTCAAAACTACATGTTGACATGTGATCATCGAGATAAGATAAGATGGGAGAACTCGCTTTGACTCTGGATTATCTGGGTTGTCAAATGGTCTGGAAACAGCAAGGCTCAAGTAGTCCAAGGTGCCTAGCTAAGATGTGCTGTGAATCCGATCAACATGGATGAGGATGGGAAATGGGGAGATTTGTTTAATTTGTGAAATGGTTCAATTTCGCTCTGGGGCCTTGAAGTTAAGCATTTCATGGTTAGATCGGATGTGGTCTGGAGCATAGAATAAAAGCTGAACCTTGGGGATAGATTAAGTACAGGCGAGAAAAAGGAAACCGCCCACGAATGAACCAAAGCCCGACCCCGAGTCGAACGAGGGAGACATGCATATCATCACTCCTGATAGGAGCAATGGCAAGTGCACTAACCAGTTGTGCTATCGGGCTACACTGAATCACCGTGCTGAGACTTTACTCAGTTACTTCGAAATTGTACATGGCAAGATCGTCGTAATTATAGGATGGCATGAAAGTCTATTGCTCGGACTTCCATCAGTACGAGCTTGATAACCCTAAAAGTCTACTCAAAATATTATACTCCCAGTCCCCCCTGCTGCTCCCATATCTCGGCCTCCGGATCCTTCTCTCCTGTAATTGAAGGAAGAATCCGAAATAATCGAACATCGAACTAAATACACTGCCACCGGCTTACATCAGCTCTCATCGCGACCGGTCACTGCAGTGCAGCCCATCGCCGTCAATCCATCTCCATCCTCGTCCGCCATGTCTCGCTTTGTCCGCGCCTCAAAGTATCGGTGAGTAGTTCATATTCCTCAAGACGATTGTACCCAACGATCGCAGTCATGTATTCGGACAGCCAGCAAAGAAGGAGCACGGCTACGAGAACGTGAAAGTAACAAACAGCGCATGGGACACGAATGTCGTTGCAGCCTCGGGGGTGGGTGCGGCGAGCTATCTTCTCACTTCAAGCCCTGAAATTTACCCAGGAGTACCTCAGCATAAACTGGAATGCGTCCGGAGGTGGCGCGTTCGCCATCCTGCCCCTTCCCTCGCCCTTTTCTGCCACTGGGCTCAGCTACAAGCTTCCCGACACCCTCCCTCTTGCGCGTAGCCACACTGCACCGGTCCTTGACACCGATTGGTCCCCGCACAACGACCGCGTCGTCGCCTCGGGTGGCGAGGACGGCAAGGTCATGATCTGGAAGGTCGAGCCGGACATCTTCGAGGGCTGGGGCGCGGAGGGCTGGGTCCCCAGCGACCTCGACCCCGTCCTGCGCATCGACGCATCGCCGCGCAAGGTCGGGCAGGTCCTCTTCCACCCCACCGCCTCCAACGTGCTCGCGAGCGCGTCGGGCGAGCACACCGTCAAGCTCTGGGATCTGGCCGCGCCGGAGGACCCGCGCACGGTGCTCGGCGGCCACGGCGACGCGATCCAGAGCATGGCGTTCAACTCGACCGGCACCCTCCTCGCAACGACGTGTCGCGACCGCAAGCTGCGCCTATTCGACCCACGCACGGGTGCTGACGCCGTGCGCATCGCGGACGGGCACGGCGGGATCAAGGGCTCGCGCGTCGTGTGGATGGGTTCACACGACCGCATCGCGACGACGGGCTTCAGCAAGATGAGCGACCGCCAGGTCGCTGTCTGGGAGACGGGCAGTCTCGGGAACATCAAGACCATCGTCCTCGACCAGTCCTCCGGCGTCATGATGCCCTTCTGGTCCGACAACAACATCCTCTTCCTCGCGGGCAAGGGGTGCGTCACTGCCTTCCTTTCGTTCCTTCGTGATAACTCATCCGCGTCTCAGTGACGGCAACATCCGCTACTACGAATACGAGGCCGACGCGCTGTACGCGCTCTCCGAGCACAAGTCCTCCGACCCCCAGCGCGGCATGTGCTTCCTCCCCCGCCGTGCCCTCAGCGTCTCCGACTGTGAAATTGCCCGCGCATACAAGATCGCCGGCTCGAGCATCGAGCCCATCGCGTTTATTGTACCACGGAAGGTGTGTGCCCTCTTTTTCTCCTCTCCTTTTTGTTCCGCGCTCTCCATCGGTCCTCCGCCCATATCTCTCCTCGTCCTCCACTTTTACTGCTCGCGTGCCATCGCACCCAGCCTCAGCGAAAGCGGTTTCTAGCGCTGATGTATGTGCTGGCTGGTGCTGCGGACACGTCACCGTATCGAGGGATTCGTGGGTCTGCAGGCAATGCGCAGCATTCCCATTGGGCGCCCTACCCGCGCGGGGCGGGGCATGTATACGACGCCGCTCCCGCTCAGCGTGGACGAGCTCAGAGGGACCTTCCCACGCGTCAAGGCTGCCCTGAGCGTTCTTGGCCCGTCGCGCAGTCTATCTACTCGCTTCTCTTTTCTGTGTGCTATCGCGGGCGGCCGGAGAAGTGGAATACGGCTGTCTGTAGGAGGACGCTTTACGGGCTTCATCCTCGGTGCTTGCTGAGGGCCTTCCTGCATCTTTTTCCATGCCCAAGTCTTCCAGACTCTCTCCTCTTGCATCCATTTCCTCATTTTCCCTTCCCTGTGGTCTCCTCGCTCGTAGCTGCTGACTATAATGGCAGGCCGACTCCTTCCAATCCGACATCTTCCCCCCCGCACCAAGCGTCGAGTCATCTCTCTCCGCCGCCGAGTTCTTCTCGGGAAAGCAGGCGCCTGTGCGTCTCGTCAGCCTCGAGGACGGTGTTAGCTTCGCGAGCAAGGCTGCCCCCGCGTCGGCGCCTTTGCCCCCCACGCCCGTGCCGACGCGGACGACCACCGCGCCGGAGCCCACACCTGCACCGAAAGCCGAGTCGATGTACCAACGCCAGGCCAGTGTCGACGTGTGTGCCCTTCTTCTTACCCTTCCTCAATCGCTGACCGCATCTTTGAATAATCTAGTCCTTCTCGTCCCCACCACCTAAGGCCGAGCCGATGTATGCGCGCCAGAGCAGCTTTGACGTGCGTCTATCTTCCCACCTAAGCATGACCTTGTCGAAAACTACTCGCAGTCCTTCGCCGCCCCCGCCCCTGCCCCCACGCCGGCGGCAGCACCCGCAAACGACGGCGAGAAGGCGCGCCTGGAGGAGAATAACGCGGCACTGACAGCGGAGCTGCGCGACGCGCGTGAGAAGATACGGAACCTGGAGCTGCAGGTCGAGAGCATGCGTGCGAACGCGCGCCGTGCCGCGGAAGCGCTGCTTGAGTAGAGTGCTGCCCCTGTCTGAGCCTCAATACGGCTGTGTTTTTTGCTGTATAGGGACTTGGCGCGCGATGAGGCGCGGTGTTGTAGGGTATGGTAGAAAGGGCGAAACCGGAACTGATGTTCTCGACAGAGGATAGCACGGCCGCTGCTGCAACGTACATAATATTGGAATTTCTTTGTTCTTTGGGAAGGAATTTCCGCAATTTCCCGAAATGGGTGCGGGCGCTTAGTTGGTTGGTCTTGTTTTGGCCTTGTTTATCGACTCCCCTTTCCACCTCCACTCAATTCTCAGCACAACTTCAGCCGCGAGCATGCAGGATCACGAACACTGAAAGACGTGCGTGGTGTCTGTGCTTTGTCGATCCAGCTGGAGGCCTGGGCCCTGGTCCGGACTACCGATCAGTGTTTTCTTGGTGTTTCCATCGTCTCTGTCGCTTTCTGTGCATCCACACACAAGACCACTCTCGGATCGGGTACTACAAATTCAGGAAAACGACATCGCGAATTGGGCTTCTTTGCTCACATCAGTGAAATGGACATCGCGTTCAGATCAGCCTGGCTGAAGCTCACCGCTTCCTACAGAACTGCCTAAGATGGTTGTACATGCGCTGTTAGACCCTTAGAAGACCTTGGATCATCATCGGATGCTTGATATGTCGCTATTCCTGGACCCTGGGGAATCACACTGCGCAAGAAATCGGTGTTTTCATTCGTCACTGATCAGCAGTCTGGTTCAATGCGCCCTTCGACATCTGACCCTTTCCGTCACCGCGCAGGACCATCCCGGACCGCTGGCGGATTCTCGGCGGATGTGACTACTATAAAACCCCTCGAGTCTTGAGAATGACGGCGCACCATTCCACATCGTCTCAACCATGAAGTTTGGGGCGGCATTCACCTTGTTTTCGTCTTTCGTATCTACTGCGTTGGCGGTGTCTTTCATCGTCCCTGGGGCTGTGTGGTCAGACACGAGTGGGGCAAAGATTCAGGCGCATGGCGGCCATGTCATCAAAGTTGGGAGCACCTTCTACTGGGTCAGTGTACACCATAAAGTACGCTGCATCGTCTGACCGCGACACCGTTTTCAGCTCGGGTACTCCACTACAGCGGGAGTTCGTCCCAACATCTATACCTCAACCGACCTGATGAACTGGACTCACTTCGGGATCGCGTCAACTGCAGTGAGCGCAATGTACAGACCCAAATTTGTTTCCTCGGGCGGGAAATGGTATGTAAGTTGAAAGTCAGGTTAACGCTCACGTCGTCCGCTCAACGTCGCAAAATCAGATTTGGGGGCAAGTTAATCGTGAGATCGTAACGCTTGTAGCTCCAGGGTCCAGCCCCTTGTCCACTGCATACACCCTGACTGGATCGCCACAACTGCTCCCACCGGATGCTCGGAGTTTCTCCGACATGGGCGTGTTTGTGGCCGACAATGGGGCGTACCGTTATCCGCACACCCGAGAGCCCTACCCTAATTACTACCGACAGGATCAAGCTACTTCCTCTCCAGTGCCGACTCTAACAACCTTCAAATCAACAACATCAATGCTGGGAACCCAATCACGATTGGCAGTAGAGTCGCAGATATTGGCGAGTAATGGCTCAGAGCGCTCTCTTTATCCAATTGACTCGTTCTTGCGACCAGGTGGCTCCCTCGAGGGCCCGGGCATGTTCAAGTCCAGCGGCGGTTCTTAGTTCCATCTCGTTTTCTACTAGGAGCGACTCAACTCTACATTATTCCAGGCGTATACTATCTGATCATGTCGCAGAAGACGGGTTATCGTTCCAATCCCAACAAAGTGTACTGGGCCCCTTCCCTCGCAGGCCCGTGGTCGGGCGGAACCGATATCGCACCGGAAAGCGCCAACACTTACAACTCGCAGAACTCCGCCGAACTTGTCATCAAGGGGACGAGTACGACGAGCTACATATTCTTGGGCGACGCATGGGATTCGACGGGCTCGGACGCGAGCAATTACGAGTGGCTGCCGATCACCGTCTCCGACTCTGCGCACACATTGACGCTGCAAAATCTTTCCATGTGGACTGTCAACCCTAATACCGGTATGAATCTTCGCATTGCTCAACTGGGTGATGCGCAAGCAGGTTGTTCTATCCAGGTGTTGTTTCCTCCAGTGGTTTTTCGAACATCACAATCAAAGCTGCAGATGGGATCGTCAGTGGCTCCGCAGGTGCGGGCGTAATTGACAGCATCTTTGCTCTATCTCCAA